AAGGTGGGTCGAGGGTCGGGCCTCGACTGTACATGTAAGTTTTCACTTTTCATTAAGTTTATTTATTTACTTTTATATAAATTTTGAAATACTAATTCAATGTAATTTTTCTTATAGGGTCGCTTCAAAGCTGAAGTGGAGGAATTCATACGCAGTCAGCCACCTAATGAGTCGGGCGAGCCAATCCAACTTTCGGACGAGGATGATGAAAGAATGTGGACGCAGGCTGCTAGCGGTTCAAAATGGGGTAAGGTATACGGGCTTCCTACTAAAAAATTACATCGCTATAAGTGTGGAATGAAAGGAATAGGGACTTCTCGCAAGCCGAGCAACTTGATGGGGAGAGCCTCTCCTCTATGCGGGAGACTGTGATAAAGCTCACATCCGAGCTAGAAGCCGCCAAGGAAAGAGAAAAGCTTAGAGATGCTCAGTACATTGGCATGCAAGAGCAGATCAAATCTCTCCTAGCTTCTGGAAGTTTTCCGATTCTCCGGTGTCGTGAGTCATCGCCAGAGGCTCGCCTTCCCCGTGCTCGTTCCTCCCGTCCTCCCCGTGATCCTTCTTCCCGTCCTCGACAAGTACACCCTTCTGGATACCGTCTTGGTGATGAAAGTTCATCAGACGATGATGATAATGATGTACAAAACAATCCTTGACTTTTATACACTTTCAACTAGACAAATACAATCGGTTTTCGAATGGGCTTGTAATAACAGTTAACTTAGTTTGGTTAGCTTAATGTATTAGTTCTATTGAACTTTATAGTTTGTTGGTTTTAATGTTGTTGTTGTTGTTGTTGTTTATTGTTGTTGTTGTTGTTGCTTTTTATTGTTGTTGTTGTTGTTGTTTATTGTTGTTGTTGTTGTTGGCATAAAATGCTTGTTTAGGAATTTTGGTAAGCTGGCAGGTGGTGTAGCTGCCAAAACAGGCAGTTTCTGCCAAAAATATACCAAGAAAAGCGACCAACTTTGGTCGCTAGTTGGTCGCTTTTTCCTTAAAAAAAATAATTTTCTGGGCAATAGCGACCACCCTTGGTCGCTAACTAACCCAGATTTCTCAAAAAGCGACCAACTTTGGTCGCTATTCCATTTTAAAAAAACAATTTCTGGAAATATAGCAATCAAAGTTGGTCGCTTATTATTAAAAAAAATTTAATTCTTGAAGTTAGCGACCAACTTTGGTCGCTTAATTTTAAAAAAATAAAAAAAATTAATAATAAAGCGACCAACTTTGGTCTCTATTTTCCAGATTTTAAAATATAATATTTTCTTTTCAGACCAAAGTTGGTCGCTTTCTTATGATAAATAATAAATTAAAAAAACGTAATTTACATGTGGAGACCAACTTTGGTCGCCAAAATTATATTATTAAAATATTATAGCGACCAAAGTTGGTCGCTATTTTCTTTACCCGGAATATTTGGTCATTTTACCTTAGAGACCAGCTTAATATCGACCAGGCCTGTTTGGTCGCTTTTTGACCTATAAGCGACCAACTTTGGTCGCTTTTTGTGGTTGCTTTTTTCCGGATTTCTAGTAGTGCTTGTCACAAGGAATCTCCTCTATGTCCAGCTATTTCTCAAAATTGAAGGAGCTTTGGGCTGAATTTGATGCCTTAATGCCTTGCCCTAGGAGAGGTTGTGAGGAGTCGAAAAAATATGCTGAACACTTTGAATCTTATAGACTTTTGCAGTTTCTTATGGGACTAAATGAGTCATATGCCCAGTCTAGTAATCAGATTATGATGATGTCCCCCACTCCTACCATAAACAAAGCATATGCTATGATCATCTCTAAGGAGAGTAAACGATCATTAGCAACCCCTACACATGCTGTTGAAAATCAGGAGAACACAGCTCTGTTCAGCAGTGGCAACAGTGGAGCTTACAACCCTAGGAACATAGCCTTGTTCACCAGCAAAGGAGGTCTTAACTCAATGAACAATTTCAGGACAAGAAAGAACATTATGTACTGTGACTAAAGTAACTTCAAAGGTCACACTAGAGAGACTTGTTACAAGATCAATGGCTACCCACCATACTTCAAGTCAAAAAAGTACAACCCTGCAGGGAACTTTGCAAAAGACAGTCAAGGTGTGCATGCTGGCAACACAGTTAAAGCTTCAAACCTTGGTCCAACAGGAGGAAACTTTGGAGGTACTACAGCTAACTTTGCAGGAAGCAGCTCAACTGCTGGAGAGGCATCTTATAGTCAGAATTAGGGTAACTCAGTGGTAGTGCCTCACTTCACACCAGAACAATACTCACAAACTCTACAGCTCCTAGGAAAGGGAAGTGAAAGCAATGAAGCAGCTATGGGAGCAGGTATGGAAAATGATGCTACAACTATTACTGATGTCACTGATGAGGCAGCTAAATTCACTAAATGGATAATAGACTCAGAGACTCTAATCATATGGTTAGAAGTCTGAACTCATTGACTAACTCTAAACCCTGTGATAAGTTTAAAGAAGGAAAAGTACTCCTACCTACTGAAAGTTTAGCCACTGTTAAGCACATAGAAACTACTTATATCTTCCCAAGACAGATGATAACTAATGTCATGCATATCCCAGAGTTCAGGTACAACTTATTATCAATATCAAAGATAACAAAAGAGTTGAAATGTGCAGTCTGTTTCTTTCCTAATTTATGTATTTTTGAGGATCTATTCAGTGGCAAGGTGAATAGGATTGGTAAGGAAGATAGTGGACTATATGTGCTCACTTCTAACAGTAGACTGCAGTCTCTGGACAGTTCAGGAAGGGACATTCAATATCACTTGTTGTAAATACAATAAAGGAGAAGGATGATAGAATAAATGTAGCCTTGTGGCATAAGAGATTAGTCCATGTGCCATTTGATGTTTTAAAGAAATTACCTGTGTTTCAGACTATTGATAGTGCAAATTCTGATAAACATTGTACAGTACGCCCATTGGCTAAACAAGAAAGGCTACCATTTCCTTTGAGTACTACTATTTCTACTAGTTGCTTTCATACAGTTCATGGTGATGTCTGGCGGCCATATAGAGTACCTACTCATGATGGAAAAAGGTACTTTCTAACTCTGGTAGATGATCATTCTAGATATATCTGGACTTTTCTCTTACCTTCTAAAGAAAGTCATTGTTGCACTCAAAAATTTCCTTTTTATGGTTAAGAATATATACTCCTCCACAGTAAAGTTTCTAAGAACTGACAATGGCTGTGAGTTTTTTAACTCTCCGATGACAGACCTACTACAGAGTCTAGGCATAGTTCATCAGAGCTCTTGCACCTATACTCCACAGCAAAATGGAGTTGCAGAAAGGAGGCACAGGCACTCAAGGAGCACAGGCTCAATTCAAGGCCCATCCAAATTTTGGGGTGAGTGTGTGATAACAGCAGTATATCTTATTAACATGTTTCCATCCTCAGCTCTGAAAGACAAAACTAAAACTCCTTTTAAGATATTGCATGGTAAGTCTCTCAGTTTAGTTCATCTAAAGGTGTTTTGCTACCTAGGTATGTTACTGAACTGAGGAAGGCAGATAAATTCTTTCCTAGGGCAGTCTCTACTGTGTTTCTTGGCTACTCTATGACATAGAAGGGGTATAAGATGTATACTATTCACTCAAGGAGCTTCTTAGTCAGTAGAGATATGGTGTTCAAGGAAGATGTCTTTCCTTTTTAATACCTGGACACTCCAGTTACTTCCTTGTTTCATGTACTAGACTTCTCTACTATTCCTAATTTAGAGCACAAGCCAGATATCCCTAATCCGGTTACACCTCCTACCATAGAAATCAATGAAGAAGTTACTGCACCTTCAGACATGCATGTCTCTTCTGATGACAGTTCACCAGATACTTCTATGGATGCAATGCCTAATGGAACAATACATAATGCTCCAACACAGCCTGCATCAAACACAGGCAGAAAGTCAGTCAGAGTTAGCAAGCCACCCCTTTGGCTGAAAGATTATGTTACTCAAGGCAAAGGGAATGCCAATTGTTGCTACCATATGTCCAAATATGTGAACTATGATCATATCTCTACTTCATTCAGCACTACTCTAGCTGCTACTCCTCTGTTGAGGAACCTAAATCCTATCTTGAAGCAGTAAAAGTTTCCCAATTGGATTGCAGCTATGAAATCTGAGATTGCAGCTTTAGAGGAAAATAAGATATGGAGTATTATTGATCTACATACTGGCAAGGTTCCAGTTGGCTGTAAATGAATATTCAAGGTCAAGTACACAGCCTCAGGAGCAGTAGAGAGATACAAATCCATTCCTTATGTCCAAGGGGTACAGTTAACAAGAAGGCCTAGATTACACTGAAACATTTTCACCTGTGACAGAAATGGTGACTGTTAGGTATGTGGTTGTTGTTGCTGCTGCTAAGCACTAGCCTATATTCCAAATGGATGTGCACAATGTATTTCTACAAGGATATCTTCTAGAGGAGGTGTATATGGATATCCCTCAGGGGTTTGCTAGCCAGGGAGGGAATCATAGAGTCAGCGAACAACATAAGTCTCTATATGGACTTAAGTAGGCTCCAAGACAGTGGAATAAGAAGTTGACTGATGCACTCCTACAACTGGGCTTTACTCAAAGCCATTTTGACTATTCTCTGTTCCCAAAGCACATACTAATGAGTTAGTTGTAGTGTTAGTCTATGTAGATGATTTTCTCGTGACTGGAAGTTGTAATGAGTTAATTTTGAAGACAAGAAATGACCTGAAGCTGAAGATCAAAATGAAGGACTTGGGAGAGCTTAAGTTCTTTCTTGGCATAGAATTTGCCAGGTCAGACAAAGGGATTGTCATGAGTCAAAGAAAGTTTGCTCTAGAACTAATTACAGAAATGGGACTTGGAGGTGTTACGCATGTTGGTGCACCAGTGGAAACTAATGTGAAGTTAACTTCTACTGAGTATGATTCATTTGTCAATGAAATGAAAACTCACTGATATAGGTTCATACCAAAGGCTTGTTGGCAGACTATTGTATTTGACAATGACCAGAGTTGATATTGCCTTTGTAATACAAGTGCTTAGTCAGTTTATGCATAAGCCCAAGCAGTCAAACATGGAAGCTGCTCAAAGAGTAGTAAGATACATTAAAGTTGCACCTGGACTTGGCCTGCTAATGCCAGCTCAAGGATCAGACAAACTACAAGCTTTCTGTGACTCAGACTGGGAGGATGTCTAGAAACTAGAAGGTCTGTCACTGGCTATTTAGTGAAGTTTGGCAATGCTCTAGTATCCTGGAAATCTAAGAAGCAAGACACTGTTGCTAGAAGCTCGGCTAAAGCAGAGTTTAGAAGCATGGCTTCAACTGTTACAGAACTAACTTGGCAGGGTTGTACAAGGAGCTAGGAGTAACTGTTCAATGGCCTATAGATCTTTACTGTGCACTACAATATTATACATTTATAGCTATGAAATAGATTGTAGCTAAATATATAAATTTTCGTGGCTAAACACTTTAGCCACAAAATTAATTTTCCTTAGCATTCGTAGCAAGAAGTAGCGTAGCTAAAAGTTAGCTACAAACTTTACATGGTTCGTGGCTAAGCACTAATACTTATTGCTACGAAAATTTTCTAAGTTGTAGCCGTAATGATAAAATATCTTGCCACGGAAAATATACTCATAGCAAGCGATTTTAATTTTTGTGCCACGACGATAAAATTTGTAGCTATCTTTGTAGCAAAGATTTGATTTGTTTGCCATGAAAATTCAAACTTTGTAGCTATTTTTATAGCTTTGTCTCGTGGCAATAGTACTTGTATTTAGCTACGAGTTCCACAATTCATAGCTACCAATTAAAGTATTTGCCACAAACAATTTCGTATGTAGCTAAAGAGCAATTCTTTTTGCCATGAAATATATAAAAGTATAGCTAGATATATTCGTTTGCGAAAAGTGAAAATATATAATCATATTTCCATGGCAATTATAGACATATTTAGCTGCTAATTCAATAATTTTATTTCTGTAAATTGAAAATTCTGTCACATGAATTGTTAACAAGAACTTTTGTAATGTAGCTACAAATACATATTTTTTAGATTCCAAAGTAAGTTACAAGTGATACATAATTGTATTTTAAAATTTCAAAACATCTAGAGTACATAATTGATCTATGACACCAACTATAGTACTAATATCTTGCTTGAGACCCAAGTTTGATTAACATTCATTAGCTTTTCAATTGAGCTCTACTAATTTCACATCTTTGCCTGTAAATTTTGATAAAGAAAATCAACACCAGCTGGATACAAACTGATCAAACATATATTTTTAACATGTACAAATAATTATATATTTTATAGAAAAGCATTATAGATTAACTTATCATGAAAAATCTTCATATATTTCTCTAAGAGTTTAATTCGTATTATATATATAAATATCTCCTTAACATGCTTAGTATGACCAATTTTATGAGATAATAAAACTCTCAATAAGCTTAAAAGGAGTAGTAAAATTTCAAATATTTCAGAAGACAATTTAGCTAACGTTTGGCCATAGATCCCAAATTTATTTTGAAAAATCTGATTAGTTATTTACACATGAATTAGATATATTCAATTGTGTTCTTTATAAATATAATTCAAACCTATAAGTGAATACTTATTTTGTAAGAATTGCAATATAGTTATTTTTTTATGGACTTAAATGTTATCCATGTTATAATATTAAGTTTATATAATCGAAAAACTTATTTTTTGAAAGACTAATATGGATATTAGTACTTATTTCCAAAATAAGGGCTTAGATATATGAAATTGCTTTAAGTACTTATTTAAAATAATTAAGTACCATATATACATATCTCTACAAACTATTAAAGTCTTTTATATGAGTACTTATTTTAAAATAAGTGTTTAAATATAATAAATTATGCTAAATTCTTATTTAAAATAATAAAGGACCAAATATACATAAAAAATAAAGTATGAGCTTATTAAGTCAAGAAGTTAGTTGATTAGCATTGATGCCATAAGTAAGTGTACACATGATCTATTATTGATTTTTTTCCCTCTCTTTTTGCATTTTAATTTTTGTTATTCGAGAATTAATAAAATTTTCAATTATATGCACTTACTAACTTTTCTACATTGTAGGAAAAATCTAACTTTTTATATTTAAAATTTATTTTCATAAAACTTCTCTAATTTTTGGACAAACTCTTATATTGATTTTGTAATCAAAGCAAAAATATTTATTTAAATATGAATTTTTTTAACAACTAATTTATTATGGTAAATAATATTGATATGATAACTTCAAGCGCATGACAAAATTTTTAACTAATTATTGAAGTTTATTGTCACTCTTGACTGTTGTGGTTATATCATTCTATCATATCAAATAATTGTAGCTATTAAGTCAACGATGTTCTCGGTTTCTTATAACTCGAATTTTAAAAATAGTTTTTATATTCAATATATTTCAAATCATTATTGTGGCTAACATGCATGTTATAGTTGCAGTAACTTCAAACACGTGATAAAAGTTTATATTTAGCTACAAAATTTTATTATATCAGAATAAGTTTGTAGCTATTAAGTTAATTTTTGCCACAAATTTTTATAATTGTAGCAAGAATACCTATTCAGCTACAATATTTTGTTTCTAGTAGTATTTTGTGGTTAAAATATTATATTGCTATAGTAACTTCAGACGTGTGGCAAAAACTCACAATTAGCAACAAAATATTATTGTAGCAATAAATCTGTAGCTATTAATCTAATTATTGCCACATGCTTTTATAACTTGAGGCAAGAATATTTATTTAGCTATAACATTTTGTTAGAAGTAATTTTCTGTGGCTATAAAGCTGATATTGCTACAATAACTTCAAATGCGTGGCTAAAAAAATACGATTAGCTACGGAATTTTATTGTAGCAATAAATTTGTAGCTATTTGGGTAATTATTGCCACGGCAGTTAGCAAATATAGCAAAAATGAAAAATTAGCTTTGCCAATTTAATTTTGTAGCAATTTTTTTTTATGAAATCGTATAGCCACGAAATTTTATTTTTTGTGGCTATTGTTAGGTATTAGCCACAATTTTCATATATGTAGCTAAAAATTTGTAGCTATATATACATAATGTTGTAGTGGTGACAGCAAAGCTGCCATCGGATTGTAGCTAATCCTAAAAGATAGCTGACTGGTGACGAGGATCATATAGTTTGAGAGCTGGATCGAGACAAAATATTTTGACATTGATTGTCACTTTGTCCGGGAGAAATAGTTCAAGGAATGATCAAAACACATCATGTGTCATTACCAAAGAGCAACAAGCTAACCTTCTGACTAAAAGCTTAGGGAAGCTACAGCATGACTATCTTGTATCCAAGCTGGGGTTGGAGAACATATTTCAACCATCAGCTTGAGAGAGGGTGTTGAAGAGTAAGAGCTGTTTGTTAGGAAGTTAGCAGTCAGTGAGGTAGTTAGTTAGGAGTGACAGTTATACACAGCTGTTAAGTTAAAGTAGCGATTAGTGATTAGTTGTACATATTAGCTATACATTGCATTTGTAACTCGATCAATTCAACGAAAAAAGTAGCTCATTTCTCCTGCTCATTTTTTTCTCTGTTCTTCATTATCTTCTTCCTTTGATCAGTGAGTGCTTGATCCAGATTTGATCACTAATATAACAGCATTACTTCGATTACCTTTGTAATCTTCTAAATACCTTCGCCTTATACTCATCCCATTTACAACTAGCTACTCAAATCACGTAAATATCTGCCTTGCAAATGGTTGTTCATATATGCCACAGGTTGGATATAAATATAATAGAAATTTTTTTTATGGCCATATAGTGTATACAGGAAAAGTTGATACGTGGAACTAAAATAAAATCTCCATCCTAAGATCCTAGCTAATCCTAATCCTCCCTTAACTCGATTGTTTCCACCGCCCAAGTTTGACTTAACCTGTCTATTTGCCACCTCTAATTCTCCATATAATGATCCAAATTCAACAGCTAGATGGAATATCTTGTATAGTAGGACTACAATTAGATCAAGCGCTGGCAGAGACTTTCACGTCTCTGCGCAAATAACAAATACAGCCAACCAGCCAAAATGATATTGGTGTAAGTTTTAGCTAGGCAAGCGAAAATATCTTGTCTTAAAGTTACACAATATGAATGTCTTGTTAATTACAGCCCACAATGCGAAAACACCCTAATTATAGAAAGTAGACCAAGTTAAATGAATCGGATGCGCATTAGTGTGATCACTATCTTTCATACACCATTGACGAGCTAGTTGCGCTCCTATTCTTGTGTTAATATAGAGGGATATTAGGCTTAGAAAAAGTTGCGACTAGAATTGTAAAAGTAAATCACGCTATAATTATAGCAAATAAATTGAGTCACGCATCATGAATATTGATAGAAGAGTCCATCAAGCAACAACCATATTGTTACACTGTCAAAAATGCAACCTGCCCCTCTCAGTTTAGGAAATAAATTATAAGCATATCCTTTGGAATTTGTAACAAAATTGATATTGACAATTAACTTTATTGTTGGAACTTATCCAAGGAAAAAGGCTTGATTCCAGGAATTAGTTCCACTTCACTAGCTTATTTGACTCCCGTGAGATAAATTGCAAATATTCAGCGAAAAATTCGATATTCCATTTTTTATGTGTTTTTCGTCCTCGTTGAAATTCTTTCTCGCCAAAGGACATAAATCACATGAGGCTATTTTCAAGCCCTCACCGTCATGGGGATATATCCTTTTATGGTAATCAGGTAAAGTGGCATTACATGCATGCACTCGGGAAAGACGTACTATTATGTTGGACCAATTTGCCTGAGCAAATGGGTAATTAAAAGGCAGAATGAGAGAATCAGATATCTATTCTGAGATGGGCTATAAATAGAGTACTGGGAATGGAGCTCTAAATTCATTATTAATAGAGCAAATTAATTAGCATGTTCAGGAGAAATGAGGAAATTAAGGAGATAGGTCTAACATGAAGGGTAAGAACCGTTTGATAGCCAAGGATGACTTGCCTGCTTCGTTCTTGAGGCTGTTGAATTTTATATAGATATCTGGTTGATTAGCATTCTTGTTTGAATACCAAGCAGGTCTCCTTAGCTACTCTAATTGGTTCTTCTCTTTCATGCTTGACTCTTCTCTTCTTCTTCAACCTAGTAGAAATTATTAACTTTGAGGAATATTGCCATCCTTAAAATTTGACTTCTAATCTCCGTAGGAATTATTAGTATATGGTTTAATTCGCCAATGGTCAGTGCAAGGTGGTGGGAATGTAAATGTTCTGTAGCATGAAGGGAGACTATGGATGAGGTATGCCAAATTTTAACAATATGCATGAAACAAAACTATATGTCGAGTGAAATGATGATTAAATGAACTAAGTCGCTTGCAGAATAATCTAGTATGCATAATTTATTTTTTTGACCTACCCCATTGGTACCTTTACGAACTTTAATTTCATTGTCTTTTAGAGAGAATTTTCGACCCTATATTGCAAAATAATCCCAAATTAAATGAGATCGTATCATTGAAGTAAGCACTGTATTCAAGAATAGCGAATTGTACGAAAATTCCAGCATCTCATGATTTTGTTCAATTCCGTCTATTCATAAACTCCCCCCCCCCCCCCTCCCCTGTTTTTGGGGAAGGACCATGCCATCCAGAAGAGGAAGTGAGTAGGATTTCAGAAACATTACTTTTTACAAGGTAAAGGAGTCATTCAAATGCAGTGGTGTGGATTACCGTAGAAGTATTCTTCTGAATTTCAGGGGATAGCAGCCTATAGTTGGAATATTGGGTCTTCTCCGCTTAAAAGGCCATTGGTTTGATAGGGAGAATTGGGGCATTGTATTTATACCCGCTTTTTGTATCACGTTTTAACTTATGCCCGCTTTGCAAAAAAAATTGCAAGCGTACCCGCTTTTTCGCATAACTTCAGCATACGGGGCTGAAGTAGCAAAGGCAATCACGCAAAACTTCAGCATTCTAGTAGCCGGGCCTGAAGTTCAGCTCTAGAGCTGAAGTTTTTGTTTTGTAACTGGCGAACTTCAGCTCTAGAGCTGAAGTTTTTGTTTTGTAACTGGCGAACTTCAGCTCTAGAGCTGAAGTTTTTGTTTTGTAACCGGCGAAGAGCTGAAGTTTTTGTTTTGTAACTGGCGAACTTCGGCTCTAGAGCGGAAGTTTTTGTTTGTAACTGGCGAACTCCACCCCTTTTCTCTTCAATTTCTCAACAACAAGAATTACTATAAAGTAACATAATTATATTTATCAATTTCAGTTATTCTAGTCACTGGCCTTAGGATTTATATCAGTAAAGTCGCAAAGCTGGAAGTTTGAACGACCAATCGATGCAGTTGAAAAAAAAAAGCTGTTATTTCTATTTGGATAATATGATTCATCTGAATACATTCCAGTTTAACTGTGTGACTTTTGAAATATGTAACAGATTGGCTGGAGCAATTCTTCTTACTCCAGTGACTAACTACTGGTGGAAAAGTTTTCCTGCAAATTTGACAAAACAAGCATATTATGAGCAGCTTGTACAATCATAATTATAGCGATTCTGTTGAGGATGAGTTCTTCTTCTTTAAGCCATTGCTTGAGAATGGTGGTAGTATTAGAGAATTAATCATAGTGCCTTTCAGTTGTTAATAGAAGAAGAAGAAAACGAAGGAGGAGAAGGAGGAGGAGAAAGGGGCTGAAGTTGTTTAAAAACTGGGTACGGGTTAAAAATTTTAAAAAAAAAAATGGATATAGGTTAAATGGGGGCAACCAAATAGGGCGCCCCGTGTAATTTTTACGGGAGAATGACACAGTTACCCACAAAAACAGAACTATTTATCCTTGTCTACCCATTTATTTTTCTACCCATCAAACTAATTACATTTCCTACCCATAGTAGTTTTTGCGGGGAATTTTCTCTTTTTTCTCCAATTCTTTTTTATTTCTATGTTTCTTTTCCTTTTTTTCTTTCTTTTCCCCTTTTCTTTTTTCTCGTTTTCTTCTTCTTTTTTTATTTTTCCTTTTCTAATTTCATTTAACTTCTTTTTTTATATTCTTTTTCTCTTCGTAATCTAATTTATGTCACCTTTTTTAAAATATAACTAGTATAATATACAGTTGCATTATAGCTATATACTCCTATAGTATATTGTATACCGTAATGGTATACTGTTAGGTAACTGTGTTCTTCTTCGATTATTATAGTATACCGTTGCAGTATATTGTATACTATAATAGTATATTGTTGCAATATAGCTATATACTCCTACAACATATTGTATACCGTAGCAGTATACTATTAGGTAACTGTGTTCTTATTCGATTTTCAGCTGAAAGGTTCGATCTCAATCACTTCAAATGTGATCAAATTTCAGTATGAACTTCCAGAAGGTACTATAAGCAATATTTAATAACACTCACTTTGAATCAAATAAGAAATCTTCAAAAACAAAAGCCAATAGTGGTGGATATTCAAACACACATAAAAATTCAGATTTGGGAAGCTTACTCGAAGGTACTATATAAGCAATATTTTATAGCACCCACATCGAATCAAACAATAAATCTTCAAAATAAAATTTCAAATTTAGAAGCTTGAAGCTCAACAATGGTGGGTCTTCATACACACACAAAAATCATAAGGAAAGGAGGTAGAGCAATAGCTTGGGTTGACCATCTTAATGAAGATCGATCTGGCAGAGAAGAAGTAGATCCATTCAAGTCCACTACCAGGTAATCTTGCAAAAATTAAGTCGAATGTTTTTAACATTCTGTACTTCAAATGAGAAGATGGGTGGGTCGGGTAAATAGTTTGGGCTGCATATGTAGGAAAAGTAAATAGTTTAGGCTTGAATATTAAAAAGTAAATAGTTTGGCTTAATGGGTATAAAGTGAGATTTTTCCAATTTGATACTAGAGTGATTGTTGGGTCCTTCAATGAGGAGTACTGTTGAGCCCAATGGTTCAAATAAAAGTTTGAGAATTATTTCACAAAATGTCGATGTAATTTGTCAAGACTTTAAGTTAAATGCACCGATGACATAGTATAAGGTACTGACAAAATCAAGTTACTTAAAGGTTATAACACATAAATTTTTAAAATAAGTATTGATGTTGTAAATTCTTGTTACAACGTTAAATTGCATATATACAGTAATAATTTAAATTTTATTGCGTATTCAGTTTGTCAATTAACTAGGTCACTTGACTGTCTACTTGAATGGCATAGCTTTACTATGGAATGCAGATTTGGTACTTGTGGATGAACTTACCATGACTACACAGGAAGTGCACTGCATGGTCCAGGTATTGCCTGACCCTATAAAATGGTTGTTTTCTTCCATTTATGCAAATAATACTGTTCATTCACGTAGCTTACTATGGCAAAATTTGAACTGTGTATATGATTCTTATAAGGGCTCTTGGCTAGTTGGAGGGAATTTTAATGAGGTAATTAGACAAAATAAAAAATTTGGGGGTAATCCTATTAATAACTCAAGGGTGGATGCTTTTGCTAATTGTCTAAATTATTGTAACTTACTTGACTTAGGATTTAAGGGTAGTAGGTATACATGGACAAACAAACGTAGGAATGGGAATACTATTCTAGAGCGATTGGATAGAATACTCGCTAATTCTAATTGGCTCCAAATTTACCCGGAAACAGTAGTACAACACCTACCACGCACATATTCTGACCATTGCCCTATTTTGGTCACACTTCAACAAAATAGGGTCCCTAGAAATAAAGTATTCCGTTTTGAAAAAATTTGGACTTCAGGCCCTTCCCTTATTAATATAATTCAACAATCATGGCAACATAATCCTCTTTAGAAGAAGCCCTGACAGTTTTTAGGGACAATGTTACTCATTGGAATAAGCATACTTTTGGGAACCTTTTCACAAAAAAAAAAAAGGAAGCTTTTAAATAGAATTAATGGTATACAGAATTCAATCCACTATCCTACGAGCCACTTCCTTCAGAACCTAGAAATACAGCTAACTAAAGAGTTTAGCAATTTACTTAGGCAAGAAGAAGATTTTTGGAAATTGAAATCTAGAATTCAGTGGCTAAATGATGGTGACGCAAACACCAAAATTTCCACATGTCTATCTTACAAAGACGTAGACGTAATCGCATAAATGATCTACAAGATAGTGTAGGAAATTGAACTTTTGATCAAACGGAAATACACAACTCCATAATCAACTACTACAATGACCTTTTTACCACACAACACTGCTTCACTAAGCATATCACAAAAAATTCTCCAATAAGTAACTCATTAAATTACAATGATCAACAGCATCTAGCTAAACCACTGCACCTACATGAAATCAAACAAGCAGTCTTCTCTTTCCAACCCTTAAAGATACCTGGGCCAGATGGCCTTCACCCATATTTTTTCCAAACTTATTGGCAACATGTAAGTCCATCACTAATAAAATGTTGCCATAATGCTTTCCAGGACAGCAAAATCACAGAACAACTTAACACGACTTATTTGTGCTTAATTCCTAAAGTAAAAAACGCTGTAGCAATCACTCAGTATCGGCCCATTAGTTTATGTAACACAACTTAAAAAATTATTGTTAACAAGCTCAAACCTCTTCTACATAAAATAGTTGGACCCACGCAATCCAGTTTTCAACAGGGGAAAAGGGCCTCAGATAACGCTATCATTGTACAAGAAATACTTCAACACTTAAAAAAGAAGAAAAAAGGACGAATAGGTCACATGTTGCTCAAATTAGATTTGAAAAAAGCTTTTGACAAGCTCGAATGGTCTTTCATCCATAGATCACTTCACTATTTCAACTTGCCAAAAAATCTAATATCTCTTATCATGTCCTGCGTCACAACATCGTCCATATCTATCCTGATAAACGGATCACCCACTCAATTCTTTCACCCCACTAGGGGAATCCGTCAAGGAGACCCATTATCACCCTACTTATTTATTATGTGCTTAGAACGTCTATCTAGGAATATATTCTAATCTGTAGATTACCTACGATGGAACCCTATTAAACTCTCAAAAAATGGACCGCAACTCTCACATCTCTTCTTCGTAGACGACATTATATTACTCTCTACAGTGCAAGATAAGAGTTGCACCACCATTATTGATACACTCAACACCTTTACTAAGCTTTCAGGACAAACACTCAACTTCCATAAATCAAGAATTTTCTTCTCCAATAACTGTAATACTCAAGCCAAATCCAACATCCTTGCAAGATTTAATATGCATGAAGGGAAACATTTTGGGAAATACTTAGGCTTCCCAATGTTCCAAAAACGTCCTCAACAATCAGACTTCCAACATCTCTTAGATAACTTCAAAGCTCGCTTGGCATGATGGAAAACAAAGTTTCTTTCTCTCCCTGGGAGAATAACTCTTATCAAAGCCACACTATCAAGTTTACCAACTCACATAATGCAATTCATTGCAATCCCTCAATCAATTCTGAAAAAAATAGAACAATACATGCGTAATTTCCTTTGGGGAAGTACACAACAAAAAAGGAAAATTCACTTGGTAAACTGGAAAACAGTAATAATGCCCAAGAACATAGGAGGCTTAGTTATACAAAAACTTAAATTTAAAAAATGAGGCACTACTGGCTAGCTTGGCATGGCGCCTTTTTCAATATCCAAACTCCTTATGGGCTTCCACTCTTATTCATAAATACAAGAACAGCAATGCAAACAAAAGTTTATCACACATTTGGAAGAACATTATGTTAGGATGGCAAAACTGCCAAATTGGCATCCAATGGCAAATAGGAACACACTCCAACATAAACTTCTGTTCAGAACCATAGATTGCTCCCAATACCACTATTAGATCACTACTCCATGGGCCTATACCTCTCGCTCATATAAATAGGAAAACTAATACTTACACGGAGCATAATACTTGGAATTGGGCACAAATTCCTTTTAATGTGACCAACGATTTTAAAACGCATTTAAATAGGGTTAATATACCCATTTACACAACCAAAGTAGACACTCTATCCTGGGGAATTACAACTAATGGAACTTTTATTGTTCAGTCAATGTACTCGCATTTACTAGAAAAAGAATTACAAAGGCAGGAATCCCAAAATCCTTATCTTTGGTTATGGAAAATACAAATACCTCCTAAGATAAAAATATTCCTATGGCTCATCATGCATAATAGACTCCCAGCAAAATCTTATCTTCATCATATAGGCATCACAATCGACGACTAATGCCAACTTTGCCATGCAGTAACAGAGACAATCAACCACGTCTTTCTCCATTGTCAACATGTAGCTCACATCTGGAATGAATTAGGACTAACTCATATTATCAATCACTTCAATCGATACCCACAACCCTACCATTGGATACTCAAAATAATGAACACAAATTACAGCAATATGCCTCCCCTTATAAATAGAAAAACATTTCTCTCATACACATTAGGGGATATTTGGCTAAATCGTAACCACAACAACTTCAATAATACAAGAAAACACTTAACTCTTACACAGATTACTAATCATGCTCTAGAATTCACCTATCTTGCTGCAAGAACAACAAAACAAAAATTACTGCAACCCATAAAATGGATCCCTCCAAAACCAAACTACTATAAATTAAACACGGATGGGGCAGTAATCCCATTAACTCATAAAGCAGGTATAGGCGGAGTAATACGTGACTCCAATGGAAATTGGATCGTAGGTTTTGCAGGGAATTTGGACAATGCCAACATTGTCCAAACAGAACTACAAACTCTATTCTACGGACTCGAACTGACAAGAGCATATCATTTGACTCCACTGGAAATTAACATCGTTGCAACAGAGGTAATCACGATGTTACAACAAGATAACCCCCTTTATACTAATTTAATTCATGACTGCAGGCACCTCCTGGACCAGCTGCTTAATCCTCCTATCACGCACATCTACAGAGAGGGGAACGAGGTGGCTGATAGCTTAGCAAAAGCGGGGTGCAGCATGGACTCTTCTACCACTACAACCATTTTTGAACAACAACCAGATTTTGTCAGCATCTTTTTGCAAATGGATCAAGCAGGAGACACTCGCCTAAGGAAGACAACAGGGACACAACACCTACAATGGGACAAACGACAACAAGTAGCAACTCCCTCTAGCGATAATGCACTGGATAGCAGTGTTAGTTTTAGAGGCAGTAGTTTCTGTATTGATCAAACTAATTTAAACTATAACCTAGATGCAACAACATCGACCTCTCTGTAGCAACTTTTGTGATTAATGCAATTATCTTTCCGACCAAAAAAAAAAGAATCCAAAAAGGTCTGAGGCGAGTTTCTCTCTTCAAATTCTTGTTAGGACATCCAAAAATAAAAAATACTCCTAGATACAGGCAAAGTCTACCCCACATTTATAGCCTATTTGGCCAAGCTTCAAAAATCAGCTTATTTTGAGAAGTATTTTTTTCAAAAGTACTTTTGGTGAGAAGCAGTTTGTGTTTGGCTAATTAATTTAAAAAATATTTTTGAGCATCAATTAGTGTTTGGTCAAGCTTTCAAAAACTGCTTCTAAGTATATTTTTTTCTCAAAAGTGCTTTTAGAGATAAGCTACTTTTTCTGTTTTTCCAAAACTACTTCTATTCCTCAAACGCACTTTTTTTTCTTCCAAAAATCTGGCAAACACTTCAACTCTGGAAAAAAAAAGTGCATTTAGGATTACAGAAGCTTGACCAAACGGGCTATTAATAGGATTAAGAAAATTGGAATCAAATCATAAAACAAAGGGCGCGAAGGGCTTATGTTATCTCAGTTAGCTAGATACATCCGCGTACGGGCTTTGATATTTTATCCAGAAAATTATCCAAAATTCTTATCATAAGGGACCAAGGAAAAAAAAGCTTATCCTAATTTTCAGTTATATGTCAGAAGGATGAGTCATAGGTGCTGCCTCTCTTATCATGCCACGTTTAAGGCTATTGGAATTTCAAGTCCCAAATAGTTGGTATGTACTCCTTAGTCCATACCCCCAAAATGAAATTTCCTCTTCCCTTCGTTGGATGTAGCAATAATTATTTGTCATTAACCTCCTTCTAAAGCAGCAAAGTGTCACATTAATTTATCAGTTAAAAATCTTCGTCCATCTTTATGTCCAGTCGACACTGATCAATACACTTGTCTTCCATTCTATGCTCTTAACCTCGCTCAGTGTAACGCTGCGAAGTGTCACCTTCATTTTTGTTCTAGTTGCGTAAGTTTCACTGTTTCAGCTGTCAAATATCTTCTTCCAATCTTTTAATTACTCCTCTCTTGATCTAGCTCCCAGCCGACACTCACCACCTGTCTTCAACTCTCTGCTGCCACGATCACTCTTCATTATCCTAAAACCCTCAACTCCATTAGTCACTTAACACCTGTTATGCCTCGAAGTAGCCTTTTCAGCTTCTCCTTTCCCATATATAAATCCCTACTTCCTGCAGCTCATTCCATCACAACAAACCAAACTTCCATTTCTTGTATCTGCAATAGCCAAAGCAAGTACAATATTCTAGTAGCTTTTTTTCTTCAAATTTTGTTTGTCTGAAAGAGATGGCACAATACAACGAGGGATACGGTAGCCAGGGGCAAATGCGCCAGACTGATGAATATGGAAACCGGGTCCAAGAAACTGGGGGCATGGGCACTGGTGCCTATGGAACTCAGCAAGGTACTGGCGGTATGGGGGGCATGGGTGGTGGAGAATATGGAATCCAAGGCCAAGATACTGGTATGGGTATGGGGGCCACTGGTGGTGGAGCCTATGGAACTCATCAGGGTGGTACTGGAATGGGGGCCATGGGTGGAGAGTATGGAACCCAAGGTACTGGAATGGGTATGGGTACTGGTGGTATGCATACCCAGCACCATGAGGGCCAACAACAGCTTCGTCGATCCGACAGCTCTAGCTCTGTAAGTGTTGTAGCATCAATATTCTTTTCTGATATCTCTCGTTTCATGATTTTATGATAGTATTAGTTTAGTTGATTGAGAAAGTTCAAGCAAGAAAATTTTTTGGACGTATCAAAAAATACTAGTACTCCTCTTAGAGAATTTGTAGGTTTAAACGTGTCATGACATTTTTATGACTACAAAATTAAAAGTACATCTATAAAGGTGCAATGCAATTTTTTAAGTTAAAGATCTTTTACATATATAAAAGTGTCATTTTTTTCAAAGACTAAAAAGAAAAAGATAAGTGTCATATAAAATGGAATATTGGGAGTTTTTTGGTCCTCTATTACTTTGTGAAATATACCCTTCTAACGTGATTTTATTTATGTGGTTTGCAGTCTGAGGATGATGGTGAAGGTGGAAGAAGGAAGAAGGGAATGAAGCAGAAGATAATGGAGAAGATGCCAGGAGGACATGCCCAACAGGAAGGTGAATACAACCAACATGCACAAACAACTTATAGTACTGAAGGAGGAGAGAAGAAGGGAATGATGGACAAGATCAAGGACAAGATCCCTGGGATGCACTGAGAACAACTTCATCAGCTTGTTCCTTTGTTTTACATTTCCAGCTTATAAGTAACAAATAAGAGTCTGAAAAGTAGTGCTTGATTTTGTTTCATGCACTCGTGTGAGTTTTAATTTCTTCACGTCGTATGTTTGAAGTTGTGTAAGGGCAGTGTGCTGACTCTATGTGTATATAGGCGGCCATGCCCGCTTCTGTGTATTAAGAAAAAAAGTGAGTTTGCTACTCCATATCAGGACACAGGATTGCTTCCATGTGTGGAAAGCAATGGTGTCCATATGTATCTTGTTAATGTGTTGTGGTGTCCCATGTTTTCTGTACTCTTTAATTTGGAACTAATATATGAGTTTTGTGTTATGTATTATATTTTTACACTATCTAACTTAAGTTGACATATAATAATATAACTAGTGAAATTTTTTGCGCTTCGCGCGGTTATAAGAAATATTATTAAATTAAAAAAAAAATAACGACATATAACGGATGAGAGAAATATTACAAATAAGAGTCTGCAGCAGAGATCGGTCCAGCATAATATACTGGAGCTCGGTGCACCTGTGTATGAACTCCAGCATATTATGCTCGACCGGTATACTTTGCTGGCTCCAGTATAATATACTGGAGACTGGAGCACCGATGCTCTAAACTCCAGTATATTGTGCTGGACCGGTATACTTGCTGGAACTCCAGTATATTATGCTGGAGTTCTGGTGTAGTTATGCTGGAACTCCAGCATAATATACTGGCGTATTTTTTCGGGTTTTGAACAGTGTTTTCGCTCAGATTTATCTTTACATGAAAAGTGGCTAAATTTCGATTACTTTTGAAACTGGGCTATTTTTGAACGACCAGTTGTAAATCTGGCTATTTTTGAATTTCTCCCATATTATATTAGTTGAAGCGGTGTCATCGCCAGAATAAATTATTAAATGTTTATATTAATATTCTACAAAAATAAAGCAATATATAATAATGACACTCTTTTTTGTCAAAGAGTACTTCTTGGTTCACTAGTCAAGCTCATATTTGACCTTGTAAAGGTCACATTTTTTTTGAACATCTTTGAGCGAGCATTTTTGTTAAAAATTTGAGGCTAATAAGAGTCGAACCTAAAGCTCTATTTGCAATAATATTCAACTAAACCACTGGGCCAAGGCTTTCAATTTTTAGGAAATTGATACTATTAAATAATACTTATTGTTTTTATTTTTATAAATACGACACCACTTCCAAGTTGAGCCTACATATCTGTATTAAACATCAACAATTTAACGTTCATATGCATCAAAGGAAAAGGTTTTTAACTCCTATTCTTTAACAAGTTGAACTTTAAGGAAGATAAATATCTTGTTCAATTAGTTTCCGTCATGTAACTGGAGAAGTGAGAAGGAAATTTAGTGGGTTATAACGTCTACGTAAACTTCTATTTTGGATTAATCAAACCAATTTATGAAGAAGAAATTAATCTTCAAACGACTAGGAAAACATTTTATCACCATGAGATCTAGTTGTCCAAGCTACACTAACAAATAAAAGCAACAGCAAAACCAGGACCGCGAACATAAAAAACTTAAATATTAGTCAAAATTATAAACCTAAAGAGTGGTGAAAGTTACCGAAAGTAGACAGAAGCATATAAAAGTTTTGAAAAAAAAAAAAAATACAGAAGCACACAAAAGATAAAGAAAAAGGCCCAAAAGTGACCAAATTTGAAGATTGAGATTTTTACATTTCTATGTCACGTAAGAAACCTTATTACCCTCAATGTTTAAGGTTTGACTTAATTACACTTAGTATACTAAATTATCAATTATATACCATAATTAATTAAGGGTATAATTAATTATACATTTTTTACTCCTTAATTAAAGGAATTGCACGTTTCTCTCTCCTAACTCATCAGTCTCACCCATTTACCCATACCCACGTTCTTTTTACCATTTTCCATCTTCTGAAACCAAATTCTCCCTCTAAATTCACAGAAAATTGAAGAAACCCTTCAACAAAGTTGGTTCCCCATTTTACTCCAGTTGAAGTTCATCAATGAAGAACAACAAAGTTCATCAAAATTGAAGTCAAATCTTCAAAGTTCATACACACATTTACCTTCAGCTTCAAATTTTCTCAATGAAGAAGAACAAACCTTCAAAGAGACAAGAGAGCAGCAATTCCACCATTGACAGCCATTAAAAAGCTT